CACCCTCTCCTTGCTCTGAGTGTCACTCAGTTGGTTATCCTCCACTATCTGCTCCAGCCCCACATAAGCAGGAAACCCAGCCCTTTAGATCTGTCCTGGCAAGGGGTACAAAGATGCCTGCCTCTAGCCCATGCACTGGGATCCACAAAGGGCCTGTTTCCATTAAAAGCAATGGCAGCCTGCCTTTAGGACAGGCTTTGATCTTCCCTATTCCCAACTGAAATGGTGACAGGAGCAGAAGCATGAGCCAACCACACCCAGTACTGGGGAGCCAGGTGCCTGCATCCTCAGCCTTTCCTGCAGGCACCACAGTTTGGCAAGCCTGGATCACTCATGGATCAGGAGTCCAGGACATCACCACCAAGGAACGTAAAGAAGAGCGAAGGGAGGTTCACCCATTAAGGTTGAATGTCTCATAGTGGCCATAACCACACAGAGCCTTGTACTGCAGCCTGCTGAAGTACACAACGTGTTTTGTCACAGTGCATGGGTTAGCCACTGGCATGCCATTGCGTACTTGTGGCCATGAGGAATCTCAGGCACTCACCAGTTCAGGTCTTTCCATCTTAATCTCGGATGCTGTTGCCCACTCTTGGTGAGAAATCAAGGACTCAACGATTCCTGCCTTACCTGCTCCAAAACTTACCATATACATATAAAAGCAGCCCAAATCCAAGGCTTCAGCAGTATGATGGAAGCCTGACTGTACATTCAAGCACCCTCCTGAGATAATCTTACATGAGCAACTGCTCCAGAGGATCCAGTAGCCAAGCTTCCAACATGAAGCTTGCATATGCTGCATTAGTTGAATTTGCTTTTGTTGCTATTAGACAAATGTTTCTATTTGTCTCATTACACAACAACACCGGCAAAGCAGCCAAATACCTTTTGCAAGCTTCTATTTAGTTGCTGGTAAAGACTAGTTAATGCTAGTCGTAGGAAGTCGACCTACATCCTTTCAGCTGTCATGATCTTGTCAAATGGACCAACCTCATGCTAGCTAGTTCTTGCCCTGTCTTGTTTCAATCAGTTGGCATAGAAGCTCTTTTTTTTCAAGGATTCAAATTTGATTTGCATAAGAAAGTTAATGGAGCAATTTCAGAAGTAAACGCCAAGCTGTACACTCAGGAAGAGTCCTCTCCACTGTGAAGGCTTTTTGGCATTTCCCTTCTTCTCCCCTGGCTCACAAAGGCTCATGTGTGACAGGTCAGGCTCCTCTTTCTGCCACTTTCAGAAACAGTGGCTTTGACAGTAAGAAAACACAGCCAATGTTTCCTGTCTGTCTTAGGCTCAAATCATAAATCATCTTTTCTAGAGGAACCAAAGCAGAGTAAGAGCAGAGCAGGCAGGCCAGAGGATCTCATTGTTGGCCAACACCTGGACTTTGCATCAATGACAGTGTGATCAGCACACATGGCTGGGGGCAGTACCATGGTCAGGGCCCTGTTGGGCTCTTTGCACGTGTCACCTGAGGTGGTGACAGGTATGTAGGGGAAAACACAATAGTCATGAAAGTGGAAAATCCCAACTCTGCCTGCACAGGCACAGACCAGCTGCTAGGTGCAGAACCAAACTCCTGGTTTTCCTCTTTTTGCTCCACAGGATTTCGCATCCATGGCCACGCTGTGGTGTGGTCCCAGTTCCAGCGAGCAAAGAGTAGAAAATCTCTCTTTATCCTTGAAATAGCCTGCAATCTGCTGGTTTCTGTGGGGAGATGGTGGATGTGTGCTCAGGCCCCTCCATGTCAGCAGGTATTCCAAGTGCCAGACACCCCTCTCCAGCATTCAGGGAAGCCAATGCCTGGTTTATCCCATCCTTCACACTCACTTCCTCTTTTGCTATGAGCTGTGCAGAAAGATCATGCTTTGTCAAGGTTAATGAGATATTTATTCTACGCTCTGTCTCTTTACAGCTTAATTACTGCCCTAGAAAGCTCCAGTCCTTGGAAATCAGCGTCTTTTGTGTAACAGAAAGATGGAGCCCTCAGCTATTTAACACTACATGAAAGCAGCACCATGTCAGTTCATGTTATGAGGTAGCTCCATTTCCTGTGAGTCAGTCAATCATGGGTTTTCATCAAGTGCTCTCTACCCCTGCTGTCATCCTCCTCCTTCCTTGCTGCTCCCTTTCAAGCCTCTCTCCCCCTCTTGACACCCTTGTGAGGACACCTGATATAGTGCATGGTCTCCCAGCATCTTCTTTCCATGAAGGCACTTCCCTATTTGGTAGCCAGTTCCCATCAACAGTTGCTCTCAAGCTGTTCCCATGATGTGCTACCTGTCTGTGCCCTGGACTGGGTGCCTGTCTCTCCCAAGATGCCTTCCCTGGCATAGAGCTATGGGCCTTGAGAGACAAGGACAGAAAGCCCAGAAACCTAAGAGAAGCAAAAAGGGTCACTGTAAATGCAGGGCTAGCTCCATGCAATGTGCATGGAGCTTTTCTGCTGGAACCTGGTGCACCCTAGGCTGGGGTGTGGGGGAGAGCTGAGCCCCACTGCTGCTCCCACTGATGCCAGCACCCCCCACCAAGACCTGGTAATGAGATGGAAACCTCATCTCTGGTACCTCCATCCAATCTGGCAACATGGCAGAGCCAAGCTGTGTGGTACTGCACTGGGGGAAGGGTGCATTTGAGCAAGAAGGGCTAATAACCCATAAGGTAAGAAACTTCTGCCAGGCAGGATGCAAAGCAGCGCAGGCCAAACCTCCCACCTGCATCAGCAGAGCACGTTACACTGAGCTGCACTAATTAGTAGCCTAAAGAGAAACAGCATGGATGAGTTCTCTCTGAATCGAGTCTCCTCGCAGAGATCTTGTGCATTAGCCCTTTCTGCAGTCACTGCACCAGCTTCCAGCTCTGGCTCCAGGCCCTTCTGTTGGTCCCCATGCTGAGGTCAGGCAGGAGGCTGAGCAGAGTGGTGAGCTCAGGCCCACCATGCCAAGATGTGTTCAGCAGGAAGAGGAATGCTCTTCTGGAAACACTTCTGCTGCGGGCCATGCAATTCCCCAAGAAGGCAGGAGGGTAAATGGGTCACTGGGAGGTGGCAGCAGTGACTCCTCAAGTGTCAGCAGGAAACGTTTGCACTGGGATGTGTTTCTGAAGCCAGGATTATGCGTGTTCTCTGAACTTTATATAGTCCCTTCTGTAAAGAGAGAAAATAGTTCTATGTCAAATGTGTTGTAAGGGTTTAACAAATTCTTCACCAGAAAGTTACTCTGAACAATAATGTTTTTAGCATGGCCCATGAATATAGAAATATAAATTTATCAAAATATTGGGGCTCACTCCACAGGTCTGGTTCATGGCTCTTTCCAACACACTGTAGTTAAGGGAGCAGTTACAAGTTGTCAAACAAACATAGATGTGACTGTGGGCAAGAGAAAATAAATGTAGCTACACACTTCTTATCGATTTGCTACATGTAAGAGGTTAGTGTTCCTCCAAGGCCAGTGGTACAATTACAGTTAATCACAAAGAAAAATATTTAACTTATTTTGGTTTGAGATAACTTGGTGAATGCAAATTCAAAGAATGTGCCCAATTGCACTTTTCAAAGCTTAATTTTTAACATTTACTTAAACCAAGGTGCTTAAACCATGACAACTTTGACGTAATATAGTTGTTCTACTGGTCATTTAGCTCAAAATGGTTCAAATTTTATTGGATGCCTAAAGAACAAGTAAAAATAACAGCAGCCTGCCTTCTCCCAGCCCTCTCCCAGTATCGAAGCTGCTCTTTGGCTCAACCTCTTGTCCTCCCAGGGCAGGACTACACACTGCAGCATGGTTGCGTCCAGTCTTACCAGACAAGCATCAGGTTGTTACTCCACATTTTCCTGCTGAAAACTGCTCCACTCTTGGAAAACCCTTCTTTTTTTAATGTTTGTCCAAGCTCCATTTTGTTGTGCTATACTATCAATGTTTCCTTGAGCCATATCATTCTGAGTATCTCTAACCTGCAACAGCTAGTTCTCCCATACTGCTCAGGTTTAGCTCAGCTCTGAAGTCTGAGGTGGTGGCACGGCTGTGTGGTCTAGCTAGCTGCAAGTGGATGCTCTTTCCTTGCCTTGGGGAATGCTATCTGTGACGAGGTGCCTAATCCTGTTTCTCCTTCCCCATTCCTTTCTTCTGCCCATGTATGGCTACAGCCTTTCTCACAGTGGAATTTCCTCCTTCCTTTTGAGAGAGGAAGGTTATGTGATACAAGAAGTTGGGCCATGAGGGCAGCAGCTGAGATAATGCATGAGTCAGCTGAGGAGGTTTAGGGCAGAGCTTCCAGAGCTTACAATCCCTCTCAGCAGTGCTTTTACTGTTCGGTTTGCATTTCTGCTTTAGGTTGAGAGGCAGAATTTTCTCTCAAAAGGAGATAGCTCAGTGACAGCCTTTTCAGGTGAAGGTGCCAGTGGCCAAAAACATTCAGCTGCAGGCTTTTGCTTGCTGTCCCAGAAGACAGTAGTTCTCTTTTTGCAGGCCTCACATATAACAAACTTACCCAAACTTTAACGCAAGCAAACAAACAAACAAAACTAGTAATAGGAGGTGTCTCATCCTCTGCTGTGGTAACAAGGTTGAACTATTCAAGATGTCATCACCCTTCTCAGAGGTGCCTCTGGTTACGACAGCTCTGACGCAGGGAGGGAAAACTCCTTTCGGAAGTGCCAGGACATGCCTAGCAGTGCCGATGCGTAATGTTTCCTGTTATCATGGGACCTTTCATTAAATACGATGGGAAAACAGCGTGTGTCATGCTAGGAAAGCTGTCCCCGCTGTGCGTGCTGTGGCTGCAGCCCGCGAGGTGGCAGAAGGAAGCAGGTGTCATTGCAGGCTCAGCCCCTCAGGCTCTGCGTCTCTTTAGAACTGGTATTCTGAGTTTTGGAAAGGAAGGCAGGGAAAAACCAGCTGAAGAGGAGAAGCACGTTTAACCTTCATGTAACAACTTCCCTGAGGAGAAGAGGATAAGCTACTAAGAGGATTATTTATAGAGAACTGCAGAAAATAAAGTGGTGTTTTAGCTCCCTTTCAGGACCACGTATTTCACAAAGGTAAGGCAAGTCATCACAACGGCCAGGAATTATTTCATGCCTCCTTGTGAAGCAATGATTGCCAAGAAGGTGCTCACAGCCAGTTCGGCTGCAGTATAAATGGGCTCTTTATCAAACCAGCTCCCTACCAAGCCCACCTGGCCTGTATGTTTATTGACTGGCTTATTGACCAGATCCATATATGGTGGTAATTAGTTAAAAGACTTCAAGCTTCAGCCCTTCAGTCTCACACATATTTGTACCCTAACAGAAAGCAATATGGTAATTTATGCAGGAATCAGCGATCATCCTCTCAAGCTCCAAGAAACCCGGGTCCCAGTGAAGCTTCTGGGGGAATATCACCACCAATATAGACAGTAGTGATCTCCTCTTTAGAGAAGACAGAGTGGTTGCATTACAGAATGGCATCCCCTATGCTATGTACCTGGGGGAGGGTTTGCTTCCTGGCTTCCCGACTCATACAAATACCTAGTCTCAGCCTATATTGCAAAAGACTTTTAAACCACAGCTGCAAGATACTACCCTGCTCAGTCTGATAGCTCAGCAATGTGACTTTACTATTAGTTTCCTGGAAAAAGACAGAAAACAGAAGAACAGTCTTAATCCCCCCACTTAGAGCAAGGGAGGGGGGTCACTACGAGCTCATCATGTCTCAGACAGCAGAGGACCTCTGCAAAAACCTTCTGCGTGGCTGCTGCCTGTGCAACCTTGTGCGTGCCCCAAAGGGAAGGCCATGATGAGAACTCATGCTGTTGCACCCAACCACAAAGCACAACATCTGAGGAAATATGGTTTTATTCAGCCTGTCCCTCACTTCTGTAAGTGTTGCTGCTGGGCTGGGGTCATGTATTTCCCAGATAAAAGTGGGTGAGGACAGCTTAGACTGTCTTTATAGTAGCTTTTAGACTTTCCATGGACTACAGTAACTTCCTTGCCAGTGCTGCTCTGATGAACTAGGCTTGCTGACCATTACCCAAGGAGTTTTGCTGGCTGACTGAGCTGCCACTGCTCTGGACCCCTTGGAAGCAGGGCCCATGGCACTTGGTCCTCACCAGCTCACCCTGCAACACCAGCCCTGTGCACACAACCTGCCAAAAGCCCTTGAGGAAGAGATCCCCTTTGCTATGAGGCTATTGCATTATTTCTGCTCTATATTCCCTTCGTTAACATAAACACCCATAAAGCTCCCCATCAGCAGGGTGATACCACCTCCTCAGGTACTCGCAGTGCTCCTCGCAGATCATGCATGAAGCACTCAATCACTGGAAAATGTTGCTCCTTTTGGTGCTCTTTGGGTACCAACTTAGGTCGTTCTGCCTTTGAAAACCATAAGTCCTTCCCAGTGGGGCTAGCCTCGGTGGTTTTCTATCACTACAGAGCTTCGTACACTTATAGCACCACTGTGTAATTAACATTGCCATCACTTGCTGATGATCTTCATTTATTTCTCTTGTGCTGCAGTTTTGAGCTAATGCAGATGTCCCCAGAAAACGATGACTATAAGGTCATTTGCACCTGAGAGTTTCTCTGGATTTAGTGCCAGTGCCAGCTAAGAAATCTGTTTTCCCATGCATCTATAACTGGATTCTCTGGTGTCCAGCAAGACATGAACTCCTACCAAAATTTGTATGGGTAGGATGCAATGTCTCTTCCATGTAGATTCTGCAGTGTCTGAGAGCAAAACTTGCAGAGCAGCTTGCAGGGCCCGGGGAGGATTCTGTGTGCACGGATGGCTGCCTCTGTTGATGAACTGCTCCCTCAGACTTTGAAATCAGCCAATCGGCCCAAAATTGCTAGTGAGACAGACTGACTGGTTGCATAAGCTTCCTTTCCATGGGAAAATGCTCCAGAAGAATACATGGTCAGACCAACTGTGTGCATGTTGCTAACTACACTCTGAGTAAGCCAATTTACCTCAGCCAGTCTGGTCCTGTCAACAAAACGTAACTTATAGGAGTTGTGCCAGTAAAGCCTAAGTAGCTCTGATAACATTGTGCATGGAAAAGAAAGGATAAGATAAAGTCAGCTAAAGAATTTAAAGCCGGGAAAGATCTGAGACTGAAGTGAAGTCAGGAGGCTTGCACTCAGCTGAGCTCTTCCAGTTCTGCAGCAGAAGGACTCCACTCGCAAAGGCTCCCCCCAAGAGGAGAGACTGCTGGGGACTGATCGCTCCTCCTGAAGAGAAAGCCCTTATCAAAAAGCAGTCATCATCTTAATTGCTGCCTCTGTCTGTTGGCAACAGAGAAGAAATCAGAGCTATTTCTGAGTTAGTGAGCTTGCACAGACAGGGCCAACATACTGCAGAGGCAACGCCAGCGGATGTTGTGCTAGGAATAAATTGGACTCTATAGCTTGAATAGATGCCAAGGAGCAAGTTTGATCTCCAAAACAGCAGCTAACAGACCATGAAGAGAAGTTGGCAGGAAAAGGCAGCAATCAGCTGTCAAGAGTTGCTGCATGTCCGGATGAGGAGCTCGGGGCCAGGTACTGCATTCTCGCACCATGTGCAAGCTGCAAATGGACAACTGCAACTCGTTTAAATTCACCTGTGAGGCTTTCAGAAAAAGCTAGACACAGACAACAGCATTCAAACTGCAGAGGTGAGCTGGATTTCTCCCAGAATTCCTATATCATATCCAACCAGGTCTAGTAGGAGGTGTCGCAGTCCATGGGGGGGGAAGTGTGTGGAACTAAGTAATCCTTAAAGATCCCTTCTAACCCAAACCATTCTAGGATTCTATAAAACTTCCTTAAACAGAGAGTAGAATCAGAGAGAAAGCCAAGCGCAGCTGTTGTCTAAGTGCTTGCTATGCACCTAATGCTAATGGACCTGTGCACATGTGCCAGCAAGCAATGCAGACTATAGTATTACATAGGATTATCTCTTAGGATGCCTTGAGAGCAAATCAAAGTTCAGAAATTCTTAGTCCCACCTTCCTTAAATCTTCAAGAATAATGTTATTCATAGCTGACATTATCTGTCAGGACACTACTTCTATCCTTATTCAGACTAGGGCTGACTAAGGCTCCGCTGTGACACATGTCATTCAACTGTTGTTAGCTCCATTGAAAGCCACTGACTGAAGCATAGCAGTGGAGACATTACTGGAGAGCTCAAACGGTCAGTCTGGATCTAAATTCTCTAGACTCTGCACTGTCTCCAGTAGAGACTTCCATAGCAGGCTGGAACATGTTCACTAACACCAGGTCTATCCAGCCTGGCCTCAGTCCTTCCTTTGAAGAACAGATACTTTCTGAGGATTATTGGTATTGTGCTGGGTATCATTGCCATGGTCTTTCTGTCACAGCATAATGGAACAGCTGCTTCCCCCTTGGGGGTCTAAGGAACAGCGTGAGGCCTTTTCCTAGGGGCCATCTGACACTTAGTCAAATGGGCCATTACTAGACTGTGCCAGGGCAAGTACCTCGATGCTACAATCTGCTGTCTCTTTTGTCACCAGCAGCATAAGAGCTGCAGCACATGGGAGCAGACAGGCTTTCTACTGTGTGACAAGCTGGTTCATCATTTCTGCTCCAGTAAATGTCAACTTGAAACTCTTCAAGATTCACTAAGGGTAGGTGAGACAAAAGGTGTAAGTATGCTTGCTGGTTTAGTATCCTCTCGTCATCATGATTTGTCCTCATTGCTAAACCAAATATTTCGCACGGAGAAGGTTGCTGGTAGAAGTAATTGCAGGTTTTGACAGGCACAATGCCCAGGGCAGGATGCTGATGTATAGGGGTTTCTGTGTGTTGTGCAGCATGTCCCAAAGAGACTGCAGTCATTTTTAATGCCACCACTGAGATTTAAGACTGTAGATATCCCATCATGAAACAGCTGAGGGCAGAAGTTCCAGCATCTGAAGATGGTGCACGCCACAGGACCATAAGAAACCAGAGGTGAATAGTGAGCCTGCCAACTGTGCCCTTCACCAATTTTTCAGCGTTGTCATATAATTCTCCCCAGTGGCTCTGAACAAATTCACAGACTTGACCAAAGCCTCTTCTCATGCCTGGGCTGTGCTAAGCACAAGGGTGGTTCCTTCCATCTCCTCCTCTTTCTCAAGACAAACATTTCTGCCTTCTCTGCAGGCGGGTGTGGTAAAAGCCACCTCCAGTGCTGAGCCAGCAAAGCCATACGTTCTTTCCCTTATTATCACTGTTTGCCCAAGTACCTTACCCTCAGCAGCAGCTCTCTGAGCAAGGGGAGCCACAGGCTCTTGAGCTGCATAGAGCACAAAGGTCATATCCTAACCCAGGCCAAGGTCTAACTAGTGGAGTTCTGAGCTGCAGTGCCTGTAAGGAGAGTTAGCAAGGCTCTGTGCTGGCACAGGGCTGTGGCTTAGAGTGATGAGGAAGAAGGAATTTGACCTTCAGAGTAGCTACATCAGCCTGAGCCCTTCCATCAGTCTCTTTTATGTGCGAAGCTGTATCTGGGTACTGCTAGAGGCTTCCAAGATGACAGTACTGTCGGAGTATCCACAGGGGTTGGTGAACATCAGGCTTTGACATCTTCTTCTTGGAAACTTTGCCTGACACATGGGAAGGGTCATCCAGAGAAAGATCTGGGCAAGACCCTCAGTGGCCCCAACAGGATAGCTGGACGCCAGTGGGACCTGCACCTGATCACTCTGAGGGGCATGTTGAGTCTGTAGGGTACGTTCCCCAAGTTCTGCATGTCCACAGCACAGTCTTAGGAAGCCAAGAGAGAAATACAGGTGTTCTGTTTATGCAGTCTAACTGAAACCATGGGAACAGACTTGGATGTGACTACACAAAATCTCAAAGAATAACTGTAACTGGGAAGCCATCCTTTGTGCCAGCCTTTTTACTAGTGTTGGTGCCACACAGACCTCTCCTTAGCAAAACACTATTCAATACTACCTCAGGTTCTCCCGTTTATCAAAGAGAAAGGAAAAAAGAAGCACCTGATCCTGATTTAAAATATTTAAGGAAAAGATTTCTCTCACCAAAGAACTCTTTATACTATCAGAGAAAAGCAGAGAAGCCACAAGCCTGGGAGATCATTTCCAGTCTAAATTTATCTTGCTCAAAGGTGCACATTTTTAAATAGGGTGAACTGTGCAAAGGCTCAGGCTGTGCTGGCAGCTTTTGGATTGAGCTTTGCACAGCTGGAGCTCTTTTTCACTGTGGATGCTGGGACATGGGACAGTGCCAGGAAGAGCCTGGGACAGCTGGTTTGGAGAAGTGTACACCGGGGATGCAGGAGCACAGGCTCAGATGCAAGGATGGTAAGGGGTTGCAGGCTTGGTTTGAGGATGGAGACAGATCGTAGCAGATCTTGAAGCTCTATACCTGTCTAAGCATGAACAGGATCTGGCCTTTGTTTTCTTACCTGGTCTTTTTGCCCATGAAAGCATTGTAAAGGACACCTCCCCACTTGGACAGACATGCAAGTCTCCAGCACCAGGCATTTTCATTTCGTTGTAATTTTTCAGCTAGCTTGAAAGAGCAGTTTTTCAAATGAGCTTTATACAGCAGCAGTCAGCTTAAAATGAAGGGTTTTCTTTTTTTTTTTATTTTTTAAACTAAGTAGTTTAAATGAGAGCTTTAAATTATTCTAGCCTAGTAAATACTTCTGTGCAAGGCCTGTACCTAATGGTACCTCATAACCAGCTTGTTTCTTTTCAGCTCTGGGATTCTCCTTGAAGTGTTACTCTGTCTTGCCAGATTAGAGATGTGCACTGGGTGTTTTCACAGAAGCATAATTCACCCTTGGTTTCCTTCTGCAGTTTCCAAGCAAAGCCAGGCTAAAGGATGGACTGAAAAATCAGCCCTCTGCCCATGCTGCTCAGACACCAGCCACATATATAGCAGGAAAATAGATTTCCTTTCCTCCATCCCCTGGCGGTCCATCTTAAGAGTAAACGTACGAGACATGACTTGTGGGCTTCATATATCCACACAGCTGCAGTAATTATGAGCATGGTCACTCATGGTCACGGTCACTGTCACCATCATGCTGGTTCCACTTCACTGCCCTACAGGTAATGTCTTTTACCTCTACATAGCTGCCATCTTTTGGTGTTGCTGGCTGCTTCCAGGAACGTGTTTTCTGTTCTGCTTCCACAACCCATAGCACATTGCTCTGCTGCAGCACTTTGGGATCTTTTGCAGGCAGCAATGGGATCCAGTAGCCCTCCAGGGGAATCATTCCCCTGATTTCTCTTGCCAGGCCCTGTTTATCTACCAGTGTGTGAGCTAGACCTTGCTATGTTTAAGGTGCTGTCAGATGCTGGCAGGAAACACTGGCCATCAGAGCAATCCTCACAGCTCAGTTTGAAGCAGGCTCTTTGGATTCCTGCCTTTAAGTCATGCAGTGGCTTCAGAGTGAGTGAAGTGGGGCACCTGAAAAGGAAAAATTTGAGATGCAATAGATGTTTCTCGCTGATCTCTTCCTGAAGCAGCAGACTCTTGGGGCTAAGCCAGCACTGCAGAGCTGGGAAAACCAGCAGTGTGTGTGGCATTTTCAATGTCCAAGGCTGCTTTCCTTCCACGGGGAACATCCTGCAGCTGCAGAGCTCTTTCCTGTGTACTGACTCTCCCTGCTCATTCTGGTATGTGTCATTCTGGGATGTACCCTTGGCCTATGCTTCCTTGCACAGCAGGATTTTACATGCTATTTAGACAGCAGAGCTTCTCACCCTGCCCTGAGCAGTTCTAGAGTAGCAATGAAATCTGCACATGGAAGCCTGAATGACAGACGGAGAGGCTTGCTGTGGATGAGAAGTAACTGCCCCTTCCACAAGGTACAATAAGCAACTGCCAAAATATTTGCTGGTATGTGGGTGGAGTCTTGCAGATGGGCTAAAGAAGGAAGCAAGAAGAGCTGATGAATGCCTTGAGCCACCTCAACACAGAGGCATCTCTGGGATGTTCAGTCACTCAGAGGCACAGACTGAGGGATGTACTGTCCTCCTCCAGGCTAGAGGCAAGTTGTCAACAATGCTGGCATGTTTGTGAGAGGTTTTAATCACAACTGCTGGAATGTTTTAATATGCACATGACACAGTGAGAGGATTTTTTTCATGCTTCATACCTATATTTATTGGTGGAGAGGAGGGAAATCTTGGTATTATTAATTAGTTAATTTTAAAAGTACATCTGTATTTGTTTTTTAGATAAGGCAGGGATTGGACATGTACAGGACTCAAAAGCATCAATGGAGGGCACACGCAAAAAGGGAATGAGCACATCAGGTTAATTGCTGTGCATTTAAAAATAGAAGCTGTACATAATGCTGTGCAAAGCTAAAATCTATTTTAAACTGTTTATACAGAACAGAAGCGTGTGTACTCAAGGTCTCCAGTTTGTCTGTGTGGGTTGGTCAGAAAAGTTGTGACATGCTGAGAAAGGCATTTGTGCCTTGTGTTTCTTTTTTCAGCAAAAGCCACATCCAACAAAATGGATTTGAAAGAGAAGAGACTGCAAAATACCTCAAGGTCACAAGGCAATCTTTGCCCATGCTGTCCAGGAGGTGTATATACGCTGCCAACCTTTGAGGAACTCCATCTCTGAGCTGAGTGGCTCCCCCTCTGATATTCTTCACAAGCTTGTTCCCCAAGCCCTCTCTTTTTTTGTCTCTCTGAGGATGTGGGCAGCTCCATGGTGCATCCTACCCTTAACATTTTTTTTCCCTTCCAATGTAGAGAAACATTCACTGAAGCAGCAATGTCCATGATTGTGGCAAAGGGCCAGGAGCTACAGGAGGGGAGCAAAAAAAAAGGAAGAAAAAGAGAGAAAGGACAATTAGTTGTAGTGTCTATGCCAGCAAAAGCAAACCAAGACAACACCACAATCTACCATCAGCTTTGGGACACTCTTCCCTGGGTTTGTCCAAAGTTAAGGTTTGCTGACAAAATTATTCCCACAGTCTGCCTTGTTGCACAGGATCCTGTGTGCGGTAGGGGTGAGGAAGAAGGGACTGGTGATTCAAGTTCTGGAAAAGGTTAACAAACACATGAGCATCTTGCAGGCTGCCAGCTCACTAGGGGTGTGGAAGAAGAGGGAACTGTCCTGCTAGGAAGATAATGTCTCTCTTGTTTATGTGCTTCTGAAGTCCACCCATGGGAGCATGAGTATAGTGAGCAGCACAGGGATGCTGGCAACATGGTGGACATCACGTGAGGTTGTCCTTGTTCTGGAGGATGTCACCCATCGGGGGGACCCTCCAAAACAAAGAGACTGTTCAGAAAGGCAGCAGGCAGACAAGGAAAAGATGCTGCATTGCCGCTAATGTGGCTGATCCCTCAAAGCTAATATGTGAGTGGAATGGTATCGCAAGCCTGAGGTGCCCTGCCAAGACAGCTGTGTTGCTGTGCCAGCTTCCTCCTAAAACAGAGGATGGTCTTTGGCTTTCCTTCCCATTCCGTTCGCTTCTCTCTACCCTCCGCCTTCTTTTTCCATTTTTAAGCCTTGCAGATCAGCATACTGTGCAGTACAAAACACCTAGCTCTACAGTAGCATGCAGAAAGAGGCATACCCTCATGTGCCTTAAAATATTTCTTTTGTATGTACGCATTTCATATCTTTTTATGACAATGAAGAGCTAAGAATTTATTGAATCTGTGAATCAAATACATGACTTAAGATCTCACCCTTTTTTGTATTTGCCACCATAGCAATTCTAGGCAAGCCCATGAGATGCCAACATCCCAGCTCAGTAGAAGTAGCACATAGCCATCAAGGTCAGCGGAGGGCCAGGGAGTTATGTTGTATGTGTCAGGGAGGTGTGAACTGGATGTACCAGCACTGAAGATGTGGTTGTGAAAAATGCCTTTACAGGGAAAAGAACGGTATGCTAGTGCATGGAGGGAAGAGGTAAAATTCTGTAAGGCAGAGAAAGGGTGAATGAGCAAAATGCTACCTTGTCAGGCCTCTGAGCTAGGTTAAGTACTGCTGCAGAATGTTTTACATCCAACAGTGCATAAGTGCAGAGGATTCCAGCGTGTCTGGGGTTCTGCCTGCAACCATGTCCCTGAAATTCAGTGATACTGACTCTGATCTACCATTGCATCAGCTTTGAATACCCTTTGAAAGGATACTGGCTTCAAATTCTGTCTTATGACCTTCATTGCAGAGCCAGTCTCTGCTGTTCTGTATTCTTATCAATGCCTTCATCCACACTTGTGGGCCCAGGGCATGTCCCTGTCCTTCACTTGTTCAGACATGGTGAGGGGTCATGGTGGGGCACAGAATAAAATCACTGGATAGGCAGGCACACAGTACCAGCATGTGCACTCCCTGCAAGGCGGTAGCAAAGGGCAGCACTCAGTCTCCAGCCAGCATTTAGCTGGTGAGATGATGCTGGACTCATGCAACGCTGGATCAATAGAACACGCAAGCAAACAGGCAGGAGAAAGACGCAAGCAGTTAAGTGTGGTAGGGAACCTGGAATTCCTCGCAGTGGGAGGACTTGGCAGAGAGGCCCAGGAGTTGAACAGGAGATGCAGCCCCACCTATGCTGTTGTGAGCAAACCCGCCCTGTACCTCAGAATGATTGTGTTCAAAATGGGTTTAATAACACGTTTCAAAACATCAGCAGGTTCCTAGAGGGGAACTGTGTTGAGGACACCAGTCACGCTAAGGTGAGGCAGCTCAAACTGACTGGTAACAAAATTTAAGTGTCAGCAAGTTGCTGTTGAGCAGAAACAGGTATTTTGATCTAGTGACAGAAACTGCACCTCTGTGCATGCACAGAAAATGATGGGGACTAGGATCCAAAGAGATGGGAATAAGCATGAGAATTATGAACAATCAAGATGTTTAAAAAAAAAAACGCTAAACGACAACTAATAAAAACTGCCTCCAGCACTGCTCCTTCCAGCTTCCTCTGCTGCTTTCCTCCCAGCAGACTGGCATTTTGCTTTTCTGGTCATGTTTATCAAATTCACACTTAGGCTTAAATTGGAGCTTTGTTGCTCATCAATTTTTGCATCATGAGAAGGTAATAATGTCTTTAAAAAAAAAAAGTGGATTATTTTTAGAGGCTCCATAAGAACTAAAATGCCTTATCCATACCCATATGGAGCTGTGTTTTCCACGTGTATGACACTGCTACAGATTTCAGTGAATTGTACCCACTGAAACATTTTTGTATGCCCTGGCTTAGCGATAATAACAAACTTCTTGCATTTGGTCTACCTGTAAATACTGAGAGGTCAATGCAGAATACTCACTAATATCCGGGGAGGGTTACGAGTTGTTTCTTAAATTAAACAAACAACAATTAAACATGAAGCATGCAGAAAAATGCTGTAGTGTATTTCCAGCAATTTTAAGATGCAACATTTCAGTCTAAAGCTTGCATTTATTTTTCATTTTAACTTCTATTTATACTTTCATTCACATATGCTGGCTTGCTTCACCTCACATGGGAGCAACACAGAGCAGAGGAAGTGCGTAAGACACATAAACTGCAATTAGGGCGGGTTTATTTCACCAGAGCTATGCAAACCATCCAGCACACAGACTGGCCTTGCCTCCCTACTAGCTCACCCTGCATCTCTCTACTCACCTACACACACTCATGGAAATCTCCCCTTTGGAGATTCATGCAGATCTGGAAGCATCTGAATTACAGTGCCATGATTTGGGTAATATAGGGACTGATGGCCTGACCAGGATTTACAGCACAAAGGGACAAGAGAGCAGACAGCGGGCAGGCTGCAGTGCCCTGGCCTGCACGAGACCCTCTGATCTCCCCAAAGCAGGGAAAGGTTGGGAGACCAGCCATAACTCAGCGTGCACTCAGGAGGTCTGCGCTATCTGAAGTCCTCACCCAGCCAGGTGTGCGGCAGTGCTGTACCACAGGGACAGGATCCTTGAAAGCCGTTTTGAGTTCCACATCTGAAGCCAGCAGTCCTCCTAAAATAGCATCAGGCAGGAAAGAAGCTACTTTTTCACTTGGCAACCCAACCAAATCAAAGCTAAACCTCATTCTGAAAGCCACCTGCTTCTGAGGACAGAGCCCCAGTGCCCACCTCCCCACACATGCACTTGTCACACCCAGACCCACTTCCAGTGATGTGTCAGGTATCTGCTACAGAGCTCCCCTGTAACTGCTGTCATGACTCACAATGACGGCCCAAAACATTCACTGTACTGCTATAGGGATTTTTGCTGCTGCTTTTTCCTCTCACTCATATGGGAGGGGAACACTAGAATCATCTAACCTGAGTCCCTGTAAAATGTCAAGCCAACAATTCTTAATTCCTCTACTAAGCACACTGTTTGCTGTCTTGGCCCAGACACAGAACTGTCAAGACCCTGGGCTTATTTTAAAGCTACAATTGCTCAAACAGTGGCAGAACATCTGAGCAGAGATGCTGCCTCCATTTCTCCTTTTCTAAACGGGTGTATAATCCGAGAAGGCACATTCAGCCTTCCTTTCCAATATACGAAAATGTCAGTAAAGCGATCCTTTACCCTTCTTCACACGGCCTGCCTACATCTCTTCCTGTAAGCTCGTACCTCTCCAATCACTTGTGCTGCGCATTCGGCCTGTGAACGGCTTCCTCTGCCGGTCCTTGTCTTAAACACCAAACAGGACCGTGCGCGCTTTCAGCCTGAAGCAAACTCCGCTCATCTCACACCATTTCCTTCAGCTTTCAATTCATCCAACCCTCCAAAGCTGTGCATGGGCCTTCTTAAGCTGCCACCTGAACATATGACCGCTGCGGAACCCCTGCCTGGGGCGGGGACTCCCAGCCCCTTCCTTACAGCCTCTCCAGAGCCATTTTCTTGAGGAGCAGCTGCTATTTTTAGGGAGCCTCTGTATGCCGAGCACAGACGAATGTGGCTGAGAGCAGGGCCTGTTGGGAAGCGAGGGGACGGTCCGGGGGCAGCTCCACCACACGGAGCCATCACGGATCGACCCGCAGCCTCCCCGGGAACCGACCACCCGGAGCCAGGCTACATCTCCGCTCTGACCGAGGCGCTGTCCTGCCTGTCACGCCACACTGGGCGTCAGCGGGACTGGGGCCCGCAAGGTTAACCGCCCCGCCAGGGGTGCCTCATGGCCCCACGCAAGCCGTGCCCCCGTCGGCCCCGCAGCACAACCCGACCCGGCTGCCATACTGGGGGCGCGAGTCCCCCCACAAGCCCCCCGACAACAGCAGCACGGCCTCAGCACCACCCCCGCCTTATGTAACGGAAGAAAGCCGCCATTGGCCAGTGGGGCTGGGCCGCGCGGGCGCCGGGTGGTGCAGCGCATGCGCAGTGCGGGCGCTCCGCTCCCTCCTCCTCCTCGTCGTGTCGGGCAGGCGGTGGTGGCGGCTGTTGCGGGGCCGCGCGGAGACTTCGCCTCCCGCTCGCCAGGGCCGCGCAGGCCGCACTCACAGCCCGGGTGAGCGGCGGCGCCGGGCCCTCTATTGGTGGGGCGGCCGCACCGGCGGTGGGGTGGTGGGTGCGGGGCAGTGGGCCCGGACGTGGCGCGGCGGAGCAGAGCAGGCCCGCCCCGGGGGAAAGGGGACGGCCCGGTAGCGAGGCGCGCTCGGCTCTCGGCCTGCCCAGGCCGCTTCCCCGCAGCTGGAGCTTCGCCACCGGAGCTCTTTTCCTTCCTTCGCTCCTTCCCGCGGGGCTCGTGGTGGGGCTACCCGGGCTGCGCCCGCCCCGTGCCCTGACAGGCCCTCTCTGGGCCCGCGGCCTCCTTGGGCTCTTTCGCGCCTCAGGCCGGGCCCGAGCCTGGAGCTTCCTCGCAGCGGTGTCGGGGCAGGGCCTTACTTGCTGCTGCCTTTGGCCGCCCGGCGGGGGGAGCCGGGGTACCTCAGGGTGCCGTTTGTTTCTGGAGGTGACAGCGGGGGCAGCTGTCTGGGTCCAGTTTTAGGGCTTGAAACTGCTCAGGTCCTGGTGACTTACAAGGAAATGACTCTGTGTGAGGCATTCACGTACCGCAGGCTGCAGCCTCGCTGCCTTGTGATGCCCGTGCTGTTGCTACTATGATTTAGCACTAATTTTTCTTGTGGTATTTGGCTTCCTATGTGCTCGAGGTTTTTTTACTTCAGAACAGCAGGCTGGTTTGCAGGGCTCTTCTGAGGGTGTGCCTGATAAGGCAAGCAGCACTTACCTGTGTTGTGCAATTGAAACAGATTTAGCCTGGTAGGTGAATTCATCATTCTTTTAGACGAACTTTGGGATTATTTGTCACTTTTAAAAATTTAGATAGTCCAGATAATCTTAATTTTCCAATATCCGAGTATTCACTCTGTGTATCAACTGTATCAGTGTAATTTGCAGCATTTAAACTCTTGGATTTTTGGCCTCAGGCATCATGTGGAGATTGATATTTTAAAGCAATGTTTTTCTTCATGTTTCCTTGTTTGTGTCTTAACTAAAACCAGTAGTTGCCAAATGTATACATACAGTGTGGTTGGCTGTTACAGTATACTGCTTACCAAGCTCTTACCAAGGGACTAAATTACAAAGTAATAGCATGATTTTGTGAAAATGTAGTTGTGGGGTTTTTTTTATTGCATCTTACTATTTTCTATTAGGAGCTCCCGAACTTCTGGGAGAATACTGTAATGCCGATAAAATAGAATCAGAATAAAACCTACACTTGCTTCTAGTTTGCAGAGTTATTGGGAATATCTGCCCTGGTTTTCAATGGGAATGTAGTGTTCTGGTTGAGCCATGCGGTACATAAACACTGTGAGGCCCTGGCTGGGGTGTTTTGGAGTAACTGTAGCATACACTGAAGCATAAACTGATATATTTAGTTTTGTTAACAGTCAGTGCTATGTCTTACAGAAACTATTGAATGCCACATGAATTTATGCTTGTTAATAGAGTTTTTGTTTTATTGTGTTCAATTTTGTTAGCCGTTTGGACTTAAATATTCCTCTAGAGCAACTGATGGGGGAGGAGGAGGGAACACTCAAAGATGCAGTGTAATGTTTCTGCTAAGGGTTATATGATGCTGTTATAGATCCAAGAAAAAGTTGGAGTGTGGCCTGAGAGGTGCCTCTCAATCTTCAAGAGCTGCTTTGGGTCTCAGGACCATCTTTTTGCTTAGAGTTAAGCACTGTGATGTTACCTGAAAGGGTGGAGAGAGGAGGTGGCTGGTTTCTTTTCCCAAGTAACAAGTGATAGGACAAGAGGTAATGGCCTCAAGCCGCACCAGGGGAGGTTTAGATTGGATATTGGGAAAAAACTTCACCACGAAGGTGCTCAGGCGTTGGAACAGCCTGCCCAGGCCAGTGGTGGAATCACCGTCCCTGGAAGCACTCAAAAACCATGGAGATGCAGCCCTCAGGGACATGGCTTAGTGGTGAACTTGCAGTCTGGGGTAATGATTGGACTCGGTGATCTTAAAAGTCTTTACCAACCTAGCCGATTTTGCGATTCTGTGTCCAGAAATTCATGCAGTACTAATGTATTTCCAGGTGTCCATGTGTCTTAGAAACTCAACAGTTTTAAGGGCCTTTAACACATGCTTACTGGAGGTCAGTCTTTGTTTGAACAGGCCTTTCTCCTTCTGTCCTCATGGAGGGGAGTGAATGACAGACCTGTTGTAGGCACCCAGTGTGACTCATGCATGAGTACGGAACTTGCAGCAAATGCCCAGGTTGCATAGAGGGGCAGTTACCAACGAGCCAACCTCCTGGGAACATTTGACTTTACTAGTCCTGAAAACAACGGACTTCACTAGCTGCTGCCCTGTGCTTGTGTAGCAGGTCTTGTGCTTCTGTGAGAGCTGCACAACTGGATTGTGTGTGGGCTGTGAGGGACCGAGAAAGATAATAGCAGAAAGTGGGCTGCTGGGTTATATAAGCATGCTCTGGATTCTGCTTGCTTGGTGCACCCAAATTCTGCCTGGTGCCTGCTCTGTGGGTGGGCTGCAGGCTGAGTGGGGTGTCCAGGTGGGCTGCAGGCTGAGTGGGGTGTCCAGGTGGGTTGCAGGCAGGCAGAACGTGGTGGTGGTAGCATACGCTGGTTTGCTGCTCCCTGAAGTGTGATTTCTTTGTGCCTTGTTTCTTCTGGTGAACCTTCTAAAGGTATACGGCAGTAGCGTTTGCTTCCTTTATGCTCCTGTGTTATATAGAGTAATGGCTTCCTATGGGGGCAGCTTTATTTCTTTTTAAGAAGTGTGTGCATGTAAAGTTGGCTAATAATAAAAGAGTGGCCACCTGTAAAAATAGCCTTGAAGAAGGAGGAGTGACCTATTGTCCTTGGCATTCCCAACTCCAAAGCAGCTCACAAGCACATATACCACAAGACAGTAATAACAGCTTGGATAGTACTTTGATTTGCCTTTCTTGGAACCTGTTTCAAGTTCCAGAAATAAAGGTTGAGTCTTAAACTTAAAAGAGCAAAACCCCCTAAATTTTATTGTATGTGTGGAAATAGAGAATAAGTTTCTGTTAACTGTAAAGGAAACTTCAGTTATTCTGACTATTGAAAATACTTTTCAAAAGTAGACCTTGAAGCTTTGTAGAGGAAGAAACCTTAAAATGACCTAATAATTCTGGTGTGTATTTTAAGAACAATACTAAAACCAGAGCCTTTACATAGTAAAGAGCTTGAACAGATGTCTGTTGTATGAGAGTTATGGGAGTTGTAGGCTTCATGGATGAGCACATGACTGCATTATGCTCATGGTTACAGCTTCTCAGTCAGCTAGCAGTAGTAGTTTCTCACATCTGTAGACTAAATGTTGTCTTTTTGTTTGTAGATATGGCTCGTGGACAGCAGAAGATTCAGTCACAGCAGAAAAATGCCAAAAAGCAAGCTGAGCAGAAAAAGAAACAAGGACATGATCAGAAGGCTGCAGCCAAGGCTGCCTTGATATATACCTGCACTGTCTGTAGGGTAAGAGGAACCAAATATTATTGTAGGCAGGTCTGTCTTCCAGCCTAGAGAATTTTTAGAAGAGTATATAGTGGAAACTCAAATACTTTTCAAATGGCTGTCTAGCTCACTGCTGGAAGCATTTGCATGTGACTTGCTTAAAGATTACTCAACTGTACTGATAACTGAGATAGGAGAAAACAGGAGAGGTGACGTACAGATCTGTTCTGGGCGGTTATCTTAACTTCTGAATTGCAGAGGTCTGCATGTGCTGTTAGTATGAGGTATAAAGTGTAAAAAGTGTGAGATCACTTCCTGTTTTATCTCCAAATGGGAACATCTCATCTTTGTGATGGAATTGGCCTGTCTTAGAATCCCTGTTCATGTAGAGAGGAAAAGTGGCGGTGCCAAGATCTTTAATGTAAGTTTGATACACGGTAGCTTCTAATTGAATAAATAACTTGACAAGAGAACACAAATGTTGAGCGCTAATCAGATTGTACTTCTGGCTAGTTTTCCTGAACAGCCTTGTTTTGAATCTAAAGAGTAAACTTGCCATTTTCACATAAATGGTTGGTCTTGGAGTAGATTTGTCACTTTGAATGTCTTAAATAAGATTCCAGCATAAGCTGCTCACTTAAGTACTTGTAACCAGTTCCTCCTCTTGTGAAATCAGTCTGTGGCAGGAGTCACTTTGGCAGCTGATGCCTGCAACTGTAGTAGCCTGAGGTAGCTTCTGCCAAGTAGAGAATCAGTCTGTGCCCCTTAACTCTTGGCCTGTTGATAAACAAAAGAAGGAGCTTTCATAAAGATTTGATTCTAAAAAGAAAAATGTTTATCTTTTTGATAGGAGGTAGGTTTCCCACCAAACCAGCTTATGAAGTGTAAGATCTGCAGGGGACTTCTAGCAAGAATAATACTGTTGATGAACATGTCAAACCAGTGTGATACTAGTGCTTAAAAGCACCTCTTTGAAAATCTGAGGTTAAATAGTCTCTTAAGCTGTAGCTGAATTAATGGTGCTTCTGTCGCTAGAGCAGTGTCTTTGAGGAGACAGTTTGCTTGAGGAAAAAGAAAACAAAATGGGGAGGGGGGAACAGGTTTTGTAGTATTTTTTTAAGTCCTGTACTGTGCATAAAGTTAAATTTCTCTCTTTAATCAGACACAAATGCCGGATCCCAAGACCTTCAAACAGCACTTTGAAAGCAAGCATCCTAAGACTCCACTTCCTCCCGAATTGGCTGATGTTCAGGCATAAGGTTGTCTACAGGTCATTACCTTCATTTTTAAATGACTGTCTGGGAATTAGAAATTATTCATCATTTTTTTACCAGCAGCTGAGACTTAAAACTCGTTTTGTTTCCTTCAGTACAAAAATTAACTGTAAGCTAAAGTTATGCCCCTGAACTGTTAAACAGAAGAAGCAAGCTAATACTTACCTAGGTGAAATGGCTGTGGCTCTTTACTGTGCGTGGAGGTTGTTTTAAAAGGGATTAATGTTATTTCAAATGGTCATCTTTAGAGTTGTAGGAATAGTCTTTATTATTTAGTTCTTGCTTTGAAATGTCAGTTTTGCTTTGAACAAAACACATCATAAATGCAATCTGTCTGTGGCTGCAAAACATGTAATGGAAATAGTTGCTTAGAGTATTTCCAACAATTGAGCCTTTTTGTTCCTGAAGCTATGCAAGTGAATGCAAATTTTTCTGCATTCAGATACAAACCCTCTGTGTTAACTGTAGAAGAGGTTTCCCACTGGCCAGCTGATGGGCTGTAACTGAAAGTGGTTATAATAAAAGGCTGAAATGAGGTAAAAAGCAGTACTGTGGTATTTCATTCACACAAAGGTGAGCAGCGTTGTGTAACGGTTCAGCTTAACTGAGTTATTCTTGTTTTTTGTAGGTGAAATCATGGCACCTATTGACTCTTCTACTGTCAGACCTTACATAACAAACCTGCAGCTGCTTTTCTAAAACTGTTGATCAGCAAAAATGAAGGGGCTACAGAAACATTCATATTTTTATGCTGTTCCCTCTTGGGCTTCATGCAAAGACAATTCTGTGTAAATGTACAGTTGTGCCCTATTTGGAAATCCTGAAAAATCAGCCCATACTTGTTATAAAAAATTTTTTACAATTGTAATTATATTGATGTTCATATTGTGTAAAATAACTCATTTAATAAAGTAGTACTTTGATTTTACAGTATCACAGATTAAATCCTTGTAAAAGTTCTGTTTCAACTTCCTGTATTATCTGCCTTACCATAAAAAAGACAAAGTGGAATTTTCCCCATCCTGCCAAAACATGAGCAGTATCATTCCACTGAAAGTAATGTACATTACAGTAAATTAATCTTAAGTAAAAAGGGAAGCTGCTCAGATTTACTGTTCAGTGTGCTGCCTGCTTGGGCCTGGTCACTAGTGGTCAAGTTGTTGGCTCAAAGCGCAACAGACTCCCTGGAAGCTGCATTAGAATACTGAGACTTCCTTCTGCATTTTTTAATCCTGTGTATTGGAGTCTAATACTGCAAGTCATTTCAGATGGAATTCTTTTACCGTGAGGGATCATGTTCCTTGAAGTCATGCACTGGAGAGACTATGGTTATACCTGTTACCCATAATATTTGGTAGATGGCTAAGGAAGCAGAGAGATGGCAGGATTGAACGCTATAGGTACGCTGGCTAAAGAAACTCTGCTCTTAGTTGAAAATTTTTATTTGAAAAGATTTTTAATGCTATTTTGAGCAGTTAACCACACATGATCCCCCTCAAATGCATCTGGTTATTTCAGTAGCAACTCTTCAAGAAATATGCAAAATAGCCAGCCATTAATAACCTTTCTTCACAACCATTTTAAAATAAGCCTGTTGGAAAAAAGCCCAAGTAACTGAAATAATATGGCTGCTTTAAGAAATGAGATGTTATTAAAGTTGCATTGACATGAAAAAGCTGGATAATATCTCTCTGGCCAAGAGCATTTGAGCAGATAACCACAATTACTCTTAAAGTGTTCTGGGCACAGTTCTAATCCCAGGTGTACAGCACAGAAGTAGTGGAGAAACATCTGAATTGTGCTACTAGGTCTGCTACACAAAATTCCATCTTTGGCATTTGGAGGGGACTTATTTAAGAGCTTTAGGTTTGATCTTGCAGTAGGAAGCAATACTAGAATTGCTGTGATTTACTGAGGTTACAATGGATGTAAAAATTCTGGCAATCCAGGTAACCCTTGATACGCAGCAGGACTACATCTGACCTTCAGATGGCTTCCTAAAATCTAGGACCATAGTCTCAAAGACTCATTCACGTAAAAGAATGCACTTGGTATTTTATTATATAAAGTCAAAGCCTTTGTCTTCTTCCACTCATTTGCTCCTTATTGAACTACTGTGAGACTAGCTTCCTGTCCTCTTTGCTGTGACAGTATCTCTGTAAATACTTTATTTGGCATAAAATTTCTCTGTATTATAGTCACTCCAGGATAACCTGTATATCGCTTAACTTTCATAAATACAACACTGTTCTCCTCCAAGAGTAATCCACTACTGCACTTGTACACCTGACATCAGAATGTAACGCTTCATTTATTTCTCTTTAATGTTACCAATACATACATCCTGACAAACTGACTCCCACAAGGCAAGAAATCTGTTCTCGACCTTTGTGCTGTGTGTGGGAGAGATCCTTAAATGTTCTGATGCTGTGGTTTGTCTAAAAATATGCTCAGTGCAAATGGATAAAGATGTTTCTTGCACTGATTGGTATTGGGTAAATCTGGTTTTACTCTGGAAAACGATCTGGGATGTATTCCTATAGCTTGGTCCTGGGGTGAAATATATGTTCTATTCCTTCAGTTTGGATTGTGTAGCATTAAATAAAAAGGTTTTTGTTTTTTTTCATAAACAATGTCTCTTAGTGAGCACCCAAAGAGCTGCATCACTAGTGGGATGGTTTACTTCAGTTAGTTGTGTTTTTGAAACTTTATGATGCTCAAGTTGAAAACACCCGGGGGGGGGGGGTAGGTTATGTATTAGAAGGCAAGGGTGATCCTGAGTTCAGTAAGATCCTTAGCTGCAGTAGCTGCAATCTGAAGTACAGAAATAAATGAAAGCTATGACTGAATTGTTGTAAAGGCTTTGTAACTACAGGGGGAATGCTATACTAAATGTGGGAATTGTCATCATCTAGAATACCTGTGATGCTCCTTGTACCTAAAAGGTCAGGGGAGGGACTAGGACTTCTCCATCGTACCTTCCTGATCTGAAGGATGGCGTCCTGTTACCTGGCTAAAGACACAGTTGTGCATTGTAATGTGTCTAATTAAAGAGAATTAAACAACTAAAATGTAAAATGTCATATTTCCTGCCTGCTTTTAAAAACAAACATTATTGCACTTGGAAAATTAATGTCCTGGCTGTGGACAGTCCTGGAGCTTGAAGCTATCTTAACTGCAAAAAATAGACAGAGGACATTTCCCATGGTCCCTTGAGATAGGTTCATCTTTGCGCAGGGACAGCATTCAGGTAAAGGGTTCTTTTGTTAGTATGGGCAGCAGCTGTCATGGATATCTTAAGAAGTTATTTTAGATTCTCAGAAGCCCACGTCTCTTCTGGGAATCTCTTCAAGTGGCAGCTGAAATCACGTTTTAAGCAGGGCTTAAATGTTCTGAAAAAAAGTGTCACTTTAGATCCCAGAGTAGAAGTTGGCACGTGTGATTATGATGGGGTTACTGAGTAATCAAGAACAGTTTTGAGATCTGTTTCTCGAACTTAGGCTACTCTGTATGTGCTTTACCTATCTAAGGGTTTCTGGTTTCTTGCTGTGAAAAATCTGGAATAGAAGTTGAAGACAGTTGCTTTATAGCCTTAAGGAAATAGCTGGCTTTATGCAATGCTCTTGAAACATCCCTGGAGACTATCCCTTTTGGTTATTTGCTGTTGAGCTGAAAACACTTCAGATCACATAAAGCTAGTGATCACAGGCTGTTTGCAAACCACACAGTAATGAAGGAATTTGTAGTGTTTCTGTAAACTATACTGAACTTTTCTCCCATCTTGGTAAGATGAGCTAATGGATGGGTTTTTTTTAATCACTGAATACTGATAGGCTTGAGTTGAGGTCTGTTTTGTTTCCCATTTTCACAGAAATAAGTTAGGAAGTATTTGGCTTTACTGGAATCATGGTCTTCCCAAGGTCTGACCAGTAAACTCAATTAGTCCTACAGAATCCACAAAGTAAAGGTCAGCTTGTGTTTTTGTCTACTCAGGCCCATTCTGCTGGGTATAATTTGGGGGCATTTGATTTACCTATGTAGAACCTTACAGGTTTTGCAGTGGACTTTGGATTCAGCCCCAAAACTCAGCTTTGGACTAGTATTCAGCATGTCATTTTCCATGTTCTGTATCAACAGAAGCAATGTTGCTCTAGTCTAAGCAGTGGGAAGGTGGCAGGTGCTGTTTGTGGAATTTCACTGTCCATTTTGAAAATTATTTGGGATTTTTTTAGTTCATTGTCTACTTTGTTATAGTTTTTATCTAGATAAGGCACAGTAGAGACTCACTGGGGTTCTGTTATCTTGCTAGCTTTCAAAGAAAGGTGCAAGAGGCTGGGTATATATTCTGCAGTTCCCTTACACAGCTTTTAGCACTGGGGTTTCTGGGGAAAGAGGAATCTGTAGTCCCAACCCTGTTATCTGTCAGGAATATGTTAAAGCAGTGTCTCAGCTTTGTCAGGAAATACGGCACAGCTTTCCTCTGAAAAATGTTGTCCATTAAACACATAAAGTTAAGGTCCAGACAGCACTTTGAGGGCATGGCAAACATATTTGTGTGTTCCCTCTTTGTAGCTGTTAGGAAATCACAATGTGCAAAATGTTTCTGGATGCTGGAGATCTTCTAGAGGAGTAAGGACTAAGGGAAATCTCCAAATATTATCTAGTCCATCTCTTTGCCCTGAGATTGGGTCAAATCTGCCAAGACTGTATCTTGGAAGTGTTTCTCTGACTAAAAAGCTTCCAAGTTAAGGGATGCCGTGACCCTGTCAACAGCATGTACCACTGTTGAACCTGGGGAGTTACCACAGCGAGAGTTTATCCGTGTGAGTTCAGTCAATTACTTACTGTTCTTGTTGGCAATAGATGTGGTGAGTAGTTTCCTCATTTGAACATTGCTATCATGTTCTCCTTCTAGTCTTCTCATTTCAGTAAACCCAGTTAACTGAATCACTCTTCATGGTTTCTAAATCTAGCAGTTGTGCACTTCTCTGAATCCTCTCCAGTTTGTGCTCTTAAAGCACATGGTCCAAAACATGACCCAGCGCGCTGGCTAATGCTAGTGCAGCGTTGCTGGGACAGTTAACTTCTGGCACTTTAGTACTGTTGGTACACACTGGAACTATATTTGCCTTTTAACAGCAGCAGCATTTTGACTCACACTCAAGTTCCTGGTCAGTAAACATCCCAGATCCATTTTGGTACCACTACTCAGCTCCATTCTGTGGCTATGTATTTAGTGCCTGATGCATACCTGTTTCTATTGGATCTCAGACCAAATTTATCAAGATAACAGTATTCTAGAGCTGTCTCATGCTCTTTACAGTTCATCCACGTTCCCCGTGCTATCATGGGAAAGTCTTGCAGATGTCCTGTTTATAGCCTGAGTTGTTCATGAACACACTGATGGGCCTTACAGGATGCTGCTTGATTATCTTCTCAGGTTCCCAGTAAGCCTTTGGCAATCGCTTTTTGAGAGCACTTGGACTGCTGTGATTCTTCTTAGGGTCAGTAGGGACTGGAGCCGTTTTTTCACCTTTGAGCACTCCACATAATGACAATGTCCAAGGCCTTTACCACAACAGGGAGACTTAAGATCCTGTGCACCTGTGGCCACCAAGCCAGATTTCATGAAGAAGGAAGTGGAAGGTAGTGGAGTACTCTGTAGTCTGTTCCCACACTGGCTGGCTGTTGCTGGGTTCCTTTTCCAGATGTATTTACAAGGAGGACTTTAGGATAATGGCTCTAGCCCTTTTCCAGGTTTAGGTTGACTGACAGTCTCCTTTAAATTTCTTGGGCCTGTCCCACTGCTCTCTTGGACTTTTTTCTGTGCCCTGTGAGTTCTCAAAGAGCAATGCTCATGGTCCGTGCTGACGTGGCTGATTGCTGGACCATCCTAGGGTAAAAGTAATCAGCTACTGCTGACATG